CAGCATATTATAAATTTTGACATTTTACAAAGTTATCCAATGAAAACTAACTACAGTTCCATGGCAGTTTGATTCCCACCAGCATCCATTGAACGGTTTTTTAAGAATATGCTTTATATTTTAGAGCAGCTTTGGTTGCACAGTAAGCAGGGGAGTGGCTGGCTGAGGGTCCAAACAGGGACCTTCTAAAAGCGTGGTGTCAGACACAGGCCCCTCTTATCCGGGTGGCACTGCCTCTTTTGGGTAAAGTGTGTTGGGGCAGTAGAACCTTACTATCCTAATAAAAGCAACTTTATTCAAGAAACAGCTTCGTTTCTCAGTCTGGAAAGTTCTCCTTGCCAGCTGATTCTTCGCAGCTGGTCTGCTCCTCCTAACACAGGGCCAGGTGTTCACCTGGCAGTCAGCTGTAACCTAAAGGGTTTCATTTTCCTGGCTGTGCTGGCATGTAGCCCTGCTGTGCAAAGACCAGTGTCGTTGCCTGAAACCCCAAACAGTCCTAAGGACTGAGGACTGTGTCTGGAGAGGGAGCAGCACTCCAGTGTTCACATTAGCCATTCATCACTAGAGGCCAAAAGAATCTGGTTTTCAGGAAAGGTATTGGTAAAATCAATCAACTTCAGGTTGCTTGCTTACTGTATTGCTTTTTATTTCTTTTAGTAACATCTTTTATTTTCCTGACTTCAAATATAATATCAATGTATTGTGTTTAAAAAGTTGAAAAACGAGAGAGGAAATTTCAATCATCCATAATGCCCCACTGATATTTTAGGCAATTTCCATTCCTTCGTTTGTTCCGTTTCTTAACTGAACTTTGGTGGTGGTTGTGGTTTATTGTTGGCTGCTCGAGGAAGGAGCAGAGAGAGAACACAACTTCATTCCTCCCCTCAGGTGCAGAAGGGCTCCAGCCACTGGGAGACACCTCAGGGCCATCTTTCCTCCGTTCCTTTCCCACCTCCCTCTCCCACCAAGGCTTATCTGTACCACCCAGGGCCAGGCCCAGCTGGGAGAGAAGTCCTACAGTAATCACATTTATGGTCCCCAGGATGGCTACTGTTTTAAAGCAGAGTCAGCCCTTGGTTTCAGCACAGAGATCCTTTCACCAGCCAGCTGGGTGTGTGTATTAGCCAGTGTTTGATGCATAAAAGCAGCCTCAGGATCCCAGTGACTTACAGCAACAGATATTTCCCCTCTCCTGTGTCTGCGGGTCAGCTGTCCTTGGCTCCAGATTGTGAGTCAGATTCAGGTAGTTCCACAGGCCTCTCTGGTCCTCGGCCCGGCAGGTGCTTGTGACACAGCCTCATGGTGAATGGCGCGGGCAGGAGCGTGAGTGGAAACACGCCGCCGTCCTCTGCTCACAGTGGGTGCACCGACCCTTCCACCTGCATGCTGTCGGCCAAGCGAGTCAGGGGGCCAAACCCGGCCTAAGTGGGACAAGGAAGGAAGCCCTGCCCACCCTAGGGAGGCACTGCCCAGGCCCCTGACCAGGGCAGCGGGAAAGGCGGGAAGGATGGGGAGCGGTGGCCTGCATTCGTCGCGTGGGCTGTATGAATCCCCAGCTCCAGCCAGACCAGCTGTTCACTGGTGGTCCACAGAGACCCGATGTTTAACTACCTCTGGCCTTTGAACATGATTTTCTTCCTGCCTCAAATGCTCTCCTTTCTCCTTTATTCCTATGTGAATATTGAACATCTTTCAAGATCTAAGTCAGATTTTTACCTCCTCTGTAAAGTCTTCCTTGACCATAGTGATTTCTTCCTCTCTCAAAACCTATCGATTTGGCTCATTTTGAATTTACACAGTATCTTCTATAGCTCCCCCCATCTATAAATACATACAGGGGTGGTTAATCATAATAATTAGAGACAATAATTAATAAATAAGCAATGCAAGAATAAACTTTTGTGTCACCCAGTCGGGTGTGGCTCAGCAGCTGAGCATCAACCTAGGATCCAGGTGATCGGGGTTCGATTCCCGGTCAGGGCTCATGCCCTGGTTGCGGGCCAGGCAGCCGATCAGTGACTCTCTCATTGCTGATGTTTCTATCTCTCTCTCCCCCTCCTTTCCGCTCTCTGAAATCAATAAAGATATGTTTTTAAAAAAGAAAAAGAATAAACTTTTGTGTACTCACACTGTAAACCTGCTTTTGCCAACCCCTGCATGTAGTCATCTGTCCACCTTTCTATCTATTTATACTTATCTTCTCAATGTGATAGAAAGCTTCTTAAGAACAGAGATATTTTATGTGTAAAGGGTGCTCACAAATATTTGTTCTTGGACTGACAACTGTTTGCTTGATTTACTCTTTATTCCAAAAAGTTGGCATCTGAGTAAGTAACGTGTTTCTTCTGTTTCTTTCCTGTCCAGCTGTCCCAAATCTTGAATTTTCAGAAACTATAAGAAAAGAGATCAGGCCATGATTGAAAGTCTCATTTCCCGTTTTATGATTCTCTTATTATTCATCGGATTTTCCAGAGTTTCTTTTGCGACAGATAAGGAATTAACTTCTGAGTCCAGCTGTTCGCCACAGAGCAGCTCCAAGTGAGTTGGCTGACCTCGTGCCAGGTGGAATCCCTGGCCCAAAGGCAACCAGTCCTTTCTAGGGACCACCCCTCCCGATCTCCAGCTCAGATTTACTTTGTGTTTTTGCATTTTTCATCAAAACAAAAGTACAGTGTAGCACTGTCACTTGGAAGGGAGGGAGTTATTCAGAAGCTGAAAAAAGAGAGAGGGATCTCAGAGAAAGATGTGGCTGCAGATCCCCGTCCTATTCAGTGGGGCCCTTCACAGTTGAGAAAGGCCCTCCCTTACCTGTCCCTGCTGAGGGTGACACACACTCTCCTTTTCCCAGATGGTGATCACAAGCAAGCACATGCTGTGGAGTCTTCCTCAAGTTCTCTTTTCAGCCTTTCAACTCGAACATGATTCGCATTTCTAGGACCCCCATGCAAGATGTGCTTGCCAGTGGCCCTCTTTGAATTTATTCCTGTGACTAGGTCATCTCAGTTGTTTATTGCGGTAAAACGTACATAACACAGAATTTACCATTTTAATCATTTGTAGGTGTGCAGTCAGTGGCATTAAGTACACCCACACTGTCGCACTGGGTTTTTTCCTGTGGGATTTAGAGCAGAGAAAAATTATGAAAAAACTCAAAGCTCTCGCACTGACTGGCCTTGAGCAAACTCCTTAATCCTCCCGCTTCCTGGTCTTTAAAATAGCAATGGCGCCGATCTTATGTGGTTCTTAAATGGATGCAATGAAAAGCATACCTGTAAGGCCTTAGAGTAGCGTTCTGGCAGGTAGTACACGTTACCTGTCAGGGCTAGGCATAGTCTTCAAGCCAAGCATGTAAAATTAAAATAGTTTCTGACCTCTTTATGAAATCACACTAATTCACAATATGCTATCCTTCTAAATAGCAAGTAAATAAAAGACTTGAAAACATATTAAAAGATAATTCAATAAGAATTATAGAAGGAATTTTACTTGACCTTTTCCCTCTGTTTAAGTTAGCAAGTCACCCTTCTTTTGCATGATATGTTTAGGAGATGCCCTAATCCTGCAAATTTTACTTGCAGTTTGCTTCCTTACTCTGTCCAGTATACATTCTGTTCTCAAACTCCAGTATGAATAAAAATCATCCAGGGACAATGTTGGAATGCAGATTTCCAGGTGCATGCCCCACAGATTTCAGTTCAGTGTGTTGGGAGCCTGGGGTCCAAGGGGGATCAGGGATCACACATGCAGAAACACTCCTCTGGTACAAGTAAGCTTCTGTGTCTATATTCAGGAGGGTCCTTAATTTATTCAGTGTGCTCCAGAGGTATATGTTCTAGTTTTAATACATTTTTTCATGCATTATTTTATAAAACTCTACATTTTCACATAAAAATCCTCAGCTATGACAGCGGTCACTCATACAATCACTTTGTATATTGACACTTCAGCTTTACTGGTGATGCAAAACTTGGCCCTTGGATGCTCATGAATTTTGGGGGGAATTTATGCATTTAACATTTAGTTTCAGCCACCTCACTGATATTCAGAATCAACAAGATATGCTACATAAATTTATACCAACTCTGCTTAGAGAACATGCACCCATTTAGGAGTGCCGTGATCTTCCCTGCCTTGGTTAGGCTGGCTCTCTTTCAAGAAATGCCCTTTCTGCCCTAGCCAGTTTGGCTCAGCAGTTAGAGTACTGGCCCACGCACTGAAGGGTCGGGCTTCGATTTGGGCCAAGGGCATGTACCTCGGTTTCAGGCTCAATCCCCGGCCCCGCCTGGTCAGAGCATGTGCAGGAGACAACCAATCGATGTCTCTTTCACACTGATGTTTCCCTCTCTCTCTTCCCCACTCTCTCTGAAAAACCAATGGAAAAAATATCCTCGAGTGAGGATTGAAAAAAAATGGAATGCCCTTTCTACTTCTGTCTGTCCTTGGGAGTTGCCAAGCAGCCCCTCTGTGTTGTGATTGACCCACCAGTTTTTTTAAAATTAAAATTAGTTGCCAACATTTATAAAATTCCAGACTTCAGGCCTCTCTTGATAAGCCAGAACCTTGAGTCCACAGGGCCTTGGAATCCTACATGGTGTCCACCAGCCAGAGCAGCCCCCTTCTCGGGCAGGGGACATGCGTTCCACCTTCACTCCAGCCCCAGGCTCTTCCCAGTGCATTAGGGCCTCCCAGCATCCAGCATTTCCACGTGTTCTAGACCATGGAATTACAATCAGATGATGTCGTAGCCTTTGCCAGTATTTTCGATCTTATGTTTGTTTCCTCATTGACGGTGCACTTGGGAGAAAGAGAAGGTTTACTTAGCCCAGTTATGTGGCCGTCAGCACTCGTGAGGCCCTCGGGAAGCACTTGGTTGGCAGCATTCGCTGTGGTTCCCAGTTGACTTGCTACAGGTGCATCTCTCTCCAGCCAGACCGTGAGTTCCTGCAGTGGCTGGTGTGGTGATGAAGACTAACTGATCTGACTTCTAATATTTTATTTAGAATTTTTACCTGGATAACAAAGGAAAAAAAGAAAGCAAGGAAAAAAGTGAGATGAATGCTAAGAACAAGGAATGCTTACTTGAGGTAAGTTTAATTTTGCAGAATAGAAGAAAAAGAGGATGTTCATTGTATCTATTTTTAAATTATTTGCTTCTCAGAACAATGGGTGATTCTGAGACACACTGAAATGTTAACTTGGGGTTTTTAAATCACATTATTACTAAATTATAGCTATTTAGATAATTAAATTGGCTCTTTGAGTCACTTGTTTAAAAGTATGGCTTTAGACAGTATATTTTCCTCTTTATGAAGTTAGGTTAGTAATTCTTAACTAAAAGACCTATGAATCTGCATAAAACTCATCTCCTTAGGATTCATTGTTTAAGTGTTCCACAGAAGTCAAATGTCAGGATTTCCAGATCTGCTTTACAGTGAATTCTAAGGTGCTCTCCCAGCAGCCAGGTGTGGTAGGAAATCAAAGATTTGGAGTTTGAGACCTGATACAAAGTTGGCTCTGCCTATAGATGTTCCTGTGTTATTGGGCAAGTCCAAGAACCTTGGTCTCCAGGATCTTACTGAATTATTTCACAGACCCAGGGAGGTGGTGGAAGCGCAGTGTGTCCATTACTGTACAGACATCTGCGATTATCACCATAGGGCTGTCTTCTGGAAGTTCATGTAATGGTTGATTTTTTGAAATTCCTAATGAATTTTCACATAGTAGCTATGCTGTGAACCCAGGCTCTGTTCAGTGTGTAATGTAGATGAACGCCAGGTCACAGTCTCAAATGGGCAGGCATGCTGGAGCCCCAGACAGGTTTTCTTTGTCCTTGACAACCTTTTCCCGAGTTAGTAGATTTTGGATTTCACTTGATAAAACACAAGACCTGGTGATGCCCTGGCCCACATTCCCACCTGGAGTCAGTCTGCTGACGCTGAAGAGCACTGTCTCCCATGCACCAGGGTCTTCCCCAGGTTCCCACACATGTTTCCATTACCTCCAGGCCCCGCAGCTCTGTATCAGTGGATCAGACCCCAGAACCTTGCTGCCATGCCCAAGGTCCCACATTACAAGTTCTGGTTCTTGGGGACAAGATCACAGTGGACATTTCCCAGGGAGGCCCAATAGTGGGAATGGGGAGGTTCTTTCTGCATTTGCCAGACTCCAGGTTGAGTTGAGGAAGATAAGGCGCCAGGTGTCCCCAGCAGCAAGGAGATTGGAGTTCTGAGCATACATACGTAGTAGTCAACACTGGCAGACGTGGAGGGCTGTGAGTAGTTTCCCCACACAGCCATTTGTTTTCAATCAGTGCTTATACATCGGCTACTGTAAGTCCGGGACTGGTTATGCTTGATGTATACAGTTGCCTAAAGCATTCTTGTTAGAGGACTTCAGCAGTGTTTTAAAAGCTTGGATGTGAACACAAATACAAAGCATGTTCTGCTCTGAAAAACGAGCACTATGCAGCTTTCTAATTTGGCCCAAAAACCTGACTGAATTTAAGAGATATTGACAAGACAACTAATACTAGCTAAATTTGGAGGAAACTAGAGGGAATGTGAACAGAAAAATGTACCTCAGTTCCACTACGTATAAATTTACTTGAAGGATACAAAATTAGAAGTTATTCTACCTCTATGAGACTGAATGAAAGGAGGTTGAGAGTTATAATAGAAAGCAAAAAATAAGTTTGAGTATTTGAACTGGAAGATGGAATAATATGCAATTTTACTACATTGCTTTTTAAAAGAAATTTACTAAGAACTGTAAATCTATGCAAGTTTTGACCTTTGAAAATCTACATCTAGAAAAATGTACTTAGGCAGTATCCTTTCAGACATCATAGTATTAATAAGCCTTCTTCATTCTTTGATAAGAAAACCATCCCAAGTTATTAACGTACACATATTTGATGTATAGAATTATACATTGTAATTTTTCTATTTCCTAGCAGTGAAATAGTAATCTTTTTTGCTTACAGGAAAAGTAATAATTTTTTAATTTGCCAACTTATAAGAATAATAGCCTTTAGTACTTTTCTTACCATATACCAAAATTTTACTCACAACCTTCTTTATCAGGTAGGAACTATTATTACTCCATTTTTGCAAGTAAAGAAACTGAGGTTTAGTGACTTGCCCACTGTCATAGAGCTAAGTGGTCAAGAAGCCTTGAAGTCTAACTCAGGAGCCAGGACTCAAGCACCATGGAATTCTCCTCTTTAGGCAAAAAGAAGGCAATACAAACATACTTTCAATCAGAATTGTAGACAGAAATGACTTTTAGTTTAAAGGCTAGTTTGCCACAGTTTGTTTAAATGTGAACAAAATGTGTTTTATCTTTCATGTGTTTATACAATTGGAATCTCAATTTCAGGAAAGTTTCTGCGGAACATCCATCATTGTGCCAGAACTTGAAGGAGCTCTCTATTTGAAAGAAGATGGAAAGAAATCCTGGAAAAGGCGCTATTTTCTTTTACGAGCTTCTGGAATTTATTACGTACCCAAAGGAAAGACTAAGGTCAGAAAGGGGGGAAAAATAGCAAAAAAAAAAATTTCATGAAAGTGAAACTAAAGAAATACTCAGGTGGCAATTTAAATACACTCTCTTTGTTGTGAGAGTGATATTATTACAATGTTCATACAAATACATACCCGATTGGGACAGAATCACAGGATTCCTTCTGTAATTTTTCCCGCAGCTCTCTCTCGAAGGTGAAGAATTTTATGTGTTTTAAAATCAGGTTTCAAAAATTATGGCCAAAGCATTTTTCTAGAGATTAATTTGTTTCTTCATATATTTATTCCTGAGGACTTTTCCCCCTGTATTTACTCTCTTGATCTATAGTCATTATAGTAAAACTTTTATCTAGAATCAAAGAGGTATGAGAAGTCTTGATAGATTTTCATTTAGATTTTAGCCCTGATCCTCTGAACATTGGAGTTGTATTCTGAGGTGTACTATATGCATTTTCACATGTAATTTAGCAGAGTACCTTAGATGTCAATTTAACTCTCCTTGGTGATTCAGGGTTAGTGCCTCAAATCTACAAGCAGACAGTAAGTTTTTCCTTGAAATGTAATTTTAACTCTCATTCTGACCATTAGCTTTTTCTTCTCTTTCTTTCTTTTTTTTTTTTACTTTTTAAATTTATCTTTATTGTTGAGAGTATTAGAGGTATACAATTTTTCCCCCCCAATTTACCCCCTACACTTCCCTCCCGCCCCCTTCCCAGGCCTTCACCCCGTTATTAACTGTGTCCATGGGTTATACATATAACTTCTTTGGTTAATCTCTTCCCACCGTCCACTCCCCTTCCCTCTT